TCAATTACGTTACTCTTTATAACTAGTTCAAGAGCTTACTTACTTACGTTTGTTACCCCTCGTGGAGAAGCATAAGTCGCCCACCAGTACTCACCATCCAACCTTGTCCTGGGCATTCCTTTGCAGTTGCTATTCAAGCGCCGACGCAAGATAATTCTGAAGCAACACTTTACGTTCGGAGGGAGAGAACCGCACACCAAGCACGCTTGCATTGTTGGTTAAGGTGGTCAGAAGACTGCATTTTGCCACCATCTTCACCAAGTAGAAATATATTATCTGAATATTCTAAGTTAACAAGTGAATCTCCTAATAGAAGACCAACCCCTAAAAAGTTAAGTGGTGTGAGCACTATCGTTATGAGGATGTCTATGACGAAGTTAAGCAAAAACGGAGGTGGACAACCCTCATGAAAACCACTTCAGGTTGATGGTTCCAACATGTTATCCATAAGCTCTGACTCGACCAGCAGTGTTCGAGCAGAGAGCATGTACAGGGTTTAGGCACTTCTTTGGTATATTTTGCAATGACAAACAATTTTACAAAACCTCTCAATCAACAGAGTAAAACGTTGTTTTAAGATTAAGGAATACAACTATAGTCGAATGTTGAAAAGTATACCTGTGTCCCAGAATCTGATGATGGGTGAATATTTGGTCTATACATCCACATCCAAACCTGGTTTTCTCGAGTTTACTCCTCACAGGCCCTAGTTAAGCATCGGAGTATCATTGAAGCTGATATTTTATATATTAAGTAGGTTAAACTGACTGGTCTTTGACTGTTACAAGAGAATTTTTGTCCTTCTTTGTAGACTTGCATCATCGGTCGAGACCAATAAGATGGGATTGCGCTCAGCTACAAGGTTTCATTCAATCTAACTACTAAAACTGAACCACCATTCTTAAGGATTTCCACAGCCAATCCATTTGAACCTGCTGCTCTCTCGCTTTATATGGCTTAGTTTTTTTCAACATAAGAGTTAGAGAATTATTAGAAATACACATGTTTCATATGGTGCTCAACAAAGTTCACATCAAATACATTTAGGTAGTGGTCATTGAGTAATGAGACTGCTTCATGAAGTAACATGAGCAGCCAATGGGGACGGAATTAATTCAGTTCTTCATCGTAACAACGGATTAACGATATTTATACTTGTGCTGGATACACTAGCTCATTTATACCTATATGTATCCTTGGTGTGTATAGGTCCATTTGATGTGTAGGTGGTGTATATCTGCACAATACCAAGTACGACATCATCTTTACTTATGTATACGCTATGGGATTAATCGGCATTAATCCTACGTATATATGTTGTTTATGTAATGTGTATTTAGTAATCCAAACGCATTGGGATTTAGTTACCAATTAAAGCATCTATTTTTATGTGTATACTTTGGAGTGTGTAAGTCTCAGGTTTGGGTACTTCTGGTGTGCATGTAACGTATACTTGCTAAAAAAAGTGATGTTCATCTTGCTTTTTAAATAGCAACAAACCTATGCACTCGGTCCTGGGAGTTACTGGTGTCTCCACAGAAGCTGTATATCCTAGCCCAGGTGTTTGCTACATGAGTGATCAAAACAATTATGCAGAAGAGCCAATTGGCTTCTTCAGAAGCCTAACCAACGTTCATGGTTGGAATGGGGAGTAATGAACAAAATTCACATAGTTAAAGCATGATCATATTTGTATTCCATCCTAACGCCTCCCCCATTACCACTTCGATACGTATTAGACTTTCCGTTGGAGTTCCATCTAGAAATTAGTTTCCCTTCTCCGTATCTATGGGTTTTGAAATGTAATAAGTGTATGATGAAAGTCTTCATCCCTTTTTTTAAGGAAGCGGTCCTTGGACCTTTTCATTTGAGTCTCTAACGTTTTTAGATATTACGTTAGCATGATAAGTTTACAGGAAATTGATCTGCATCTTACAAATCGATGAAAAACGTCTTACCAAATTGAATCTTTCATTTTTGTTGTTGATATTTTGCATATGTGTGTTTTATATGAAAAATTATCTCTTAAAGTACCAAAGATCATCAAAATACCATGTATATATTGTCTCCTTTAAATGAATAGAGCCATTATAACTTGTCTGATGAGTTGACTAGACATTAAAAACTTTCTTATCATCCATACTTTCTTCATCCTCTACCAATTAAACATCAGGCTTTAAGTTGATAATCCATCTAAATTTTTCTGTGACCTACAACAAGAGAACAAGATAATTCTTGATTTATACCTGACGAATGTTGCTTATTGATTTCCGGATTAGTAGATGGTTGTCTACTACAGACAAATATGTCACAATCGAACCGAATTTCATTTACTGAAACAATATGGAAGTATTTAGATGGGACATTCATTTTATCCGAATAATTACTATCAGGTTCATTGGGCAATTGTGATGAATACTGAGAACTGACGACTGTAAGTCAAACACTTTTCCAAAGACACTGAGAGCTTTATAAAAATTGAAATCGTTGGCAAAATGAAACTGGTATAATTGATATCTTCACTTGACCTCAACCCAGTGAGATGAGTAGGGACTTTTGAACAAACGTCCGATTCAGTCAATTAAATCATAAATAAATCTTCATTTCTGACATGCTAAGCATCGACCCTCACCCCAAATTCCAGAGTGAAGATGAACATGACGAATAACTTGATGTTGTATCCACATTTCTTTTAATATTGCAGACTGAAAACTGAGGAAAATTTGCGGTGAATTTCTCGGCAGACTTCTTCAGTTAATGGTCAAACTCCTTTTGACGTAGCTCAAGTAAGTTACACTGCATCATTTGATTGGAATATTTTTCAACTTAACCCATCGCCACTGTTCCAATAGCGAGAACTATTGCCATACTTGAGACCGAGAAATCACTGCGATTTCCACGAATCGAAAACTGGAGCAAGTCAAGATCTTATTAACCTTCCCAAAACACAACGATAGTTGTCGTAACAACAGATAACTGGTACTGACTACCTGAACCTGTGAACCACACGACGTAAGAACACAATGATAGATGAAGATTTATTTAACATCTAAAACTGTTTAAAGTACAGTGAATTTGTGTGATGAATAGTAAAATTTGAATAAATTAAACTGAGTAGCACTTGGAACTCCGCCTGGAGTCCCTCCGGGGGCTACTGCCGGTCCTAAGCCCGGATAAAGGAGGAGGGTTGGGCATGGGGTTAGCGTCCCCATCCCGTAGAAAACTAACTCGCTAAAAAAAGCTAACCAGAGTAGTACTTGGGATTGATAATTTGCCAAAAAAACGGATTTAAGGTGTCATAAAACTAACCGTCTATAACTAGCAGACATAGCAAATATAATTACTCCTTCTTAAAATGTAATTATGTATTTTAGACGATCGAAGAAATCAACTTCTTAGGTTACGGATACTGCAGTAAATTAAATCCTTGCTTACCATATCAAAGGAAGTCATTCAAATGTGGAAATCAGCTAAATACTATGGCAATGCATTAATATATAGAGTGTAAATCGCTAAATTGCTGGTGTAATAGACAAAAAAGTAATGCATAGACTCCAACGACTACTTCGCATTTGGGAATCTCATAACACTTGGCTTCATAAACTAAATAGATTTGAAGATAGAGAGCAAGTATGGTAACTCAAGAATTTGTTATCTGACGTATGGAATACATTAGTGAAAGTTGTGGTTAAAGCACTAAGTTTCTGAACATTTAGCTCCGGATTCAAATCCCATTTCACCTATATCATCTTCCGGTAGTCGGGCAAGTTTATAAGCAGTTATACCTGATATGAGTAACAATAAATAAGTGAATATGGAGCAGAAAGTTTGTGGATAGCAAGATAGACAGCGTAGAATGTCAGGGATTGGAACACCGACAAGGCAGAGCTTAGATACATAGCATATAGTACTAGCTGTACCTGGCACGAAACTACAGTTATGGAGTTTACCACCGACTTTGATAGATCTGGTATCCAAAAATTGGTAAAAACGTCATTAGAAAACCTGAAAATATATGTTCTACAAATGGGGCTCGACGTCGGATATATACGGTATTCCAATCTACAACCAGTAACAATCAATAACAGATAAGTGAAGTAGTTCATCGGATAGAACTACAACCATCTAAGTAACTCTATGCGCACAAATAAATTAACTGTTTAAATGTAGAGTATCATAGTGGGAATTTCCACAAAGGACAACATATGCTCATGTATATGTATATTTAGTTATATTCCATTTTAAATAACAAGTTATAACACACATTTAGGGAACAATTCACAACTTTTACTGATGATAATCATTCTCCAAATTTCTATGCTGATTGATTGAATAAAAATAGGATATTGAAGGGTAATACAAAAACCAACACAACAATCGAATAGACATAAAACTGATACAAACACAAATACTTGCGTTGAGGGGTAGGCAATGCAGGAAACACATATATGATTAGATGAAGAGGAAAACAAGGTAAAAGCGGAACTGTTGCAATAATAAAAGAGGCAAAGAGGAAAGGGGCATGGATAGGCATGAAATAGCGAATAAGAATTTGACTACAGTCGGCTGTATCATCCAAAAAAAACAAAGAAGTGGAAACAAGAGGTAATTGAAACACTATCTATCTATCTAGCTAGCAAGAAATACGCAAAAAAGCAACGAACACGCTTCAAAATTCAACTGCAATGATATCAGATACAATGGGCAGATTAAACAATAAACCAAGATAATATACACATAAATGATGCAATTCATAGTAATAATAAGTGTTAGTAATAACTGTTTTTGTGTGAGTTGTAGTGCTTTATTGTCTATTTCATCAGCTCCAAACATACAAACTTGGTGAATAACAATCCATATATGCCAAACAGAAGCACAATCATACAATTATATGTATATAGTTTAAGGAGCCTAATGACAGTTTGAGAGGATGTGAAGAGATTCTCACATAATGTGGGTAGTGGAGGTAAACAAATAATCCAAGTGTAATACACAAGTTATTATGGCATTATATAACCTTCATCCGCACGTTCACCTGGTGCATAAGCTCCTGAAAATCCAATATGTGGATCCGCTGAATCAGCTGGCATATGTCCTGGAGCTGGTTGAGCAAATGTAGGCGGACCACGTGTTGCATGTGTAGTCATTACACCAGTCATTGTGATGATGAAGCCATTACCTCTGCGTTCACATCGGAATCGAGTGGCTAGTTCTGTGATGTAAACCGCAAGAGCGATAGCTGAAAATACCTATATACATATGCAAAGTGCAGAGGGTTTTTTCGGAAAAATGAAAGAATAAGAATTGATTAGTAAGACTGAAAATAATGAGATCAATATTCGGAGTGTACTACTATGTTTACTGTATTGAATAATTACCAACCTCATTTTCTATATGAAGCCGTTGATATAACCTAAATAAAATTGGACATTCTTTTATTTAGTAATTTTGGTATACAAAATAGACATTAATTATATATATATCAACGGGAATGAGCAAACTCATTAACTAATACGTGCTGTTTGAAGAAGTAGTTGTGAAGATATTGGTAACTGAAAATGATCTTCATATGTTTGACTTTTACAAAAGATGTTCAATAAATAATACAGTGAGATGAATCGAATTACTGCTGTTAAACCCAAACGGTAAATAAATCCTACTAGCTCGTTAGTTAGTGTATTAGGTATTACTAACATCAAATAATGGTAACAAAAAACGAAAATGGTTATTATAAAACAGATTCTGATGACATCTAATCATCTAAATCCAAATCGTACTCAAAGTGGTGTTGAGGTCAGGCACGGTAGTGAGACATCAGTGTAGAACCTAAGACGAATGTGCATCGACCCAAGTTGTCATACCTTACAACCGCATAATGAAAGAAGAGAAGCAAAGGAATGGAAATTATATTAAATATAATAGGAATCTAAACATAAGAATATGGACCAAACGGAACAAATAATATCGACGAATGAAAAGTTACAAGTACCACGTAAGGATGTTAGATCGACTGAAATTATGTTACCTTTATCAGCTAAAGGAATGGGATTATGGCCAACGAGCTTGAACGAGCAATGGCTTAATTGAGTGATGTCATATCATAGTTAAGTCGCTTCTAATTTTCCTCTACCCAGGTCCTACAACAGTAAACCTCGTCTATCGGGGGAAGCGTCGATTAGGAATACGTAACACATGCCCTTATCACCTCAACCGATAAAGATTTACAACCCCATCTACCGACTTGCTATCTATACAAGGTACCCTATGTCTATCCTCAACATTGGTTACTCAGTCATTCAAAGAAAAGTGAGCGGTGATCAAAAACCTATTTTCAAGAACCATGTTTCATAGCTACGAAGCAACATAGAGTGGACTGATGAGCAGTATATATGTCCCTTAGTTGATTCAATCAGTCAAATGGGAGCAACCCATTGCTGGACAAATAAGTTACACTATCCTCATTATTATTAAGTTAAATAAAAAACAATATCACTTACAGCCGCAGCTATAGCACCATGACCTTTCGAGTGATGAGCCGCTGCAACGATCAACGTTATAAACCAAAAGAAGGTGCATATCAGTAGCACAGAAAACTCCTTTTCATTATTTTTTCGTTTATTTGTAAAAACAAGAAACAATAAAGATAACGATTAGGACTGTGTAACATGTTGTATGACATGAAAGATGAACAGATTAGCTCTTTCTCATACACATTATCAATATGATCGAAAGTGAACAATTTTGACATTTAACATCTAACAGACAGTAATTGTTTAGAAAATAGATTTGTCAAGAACTGAAGTTAGATGAGAAAACATTAAAGAACTGTCGTTTTTCTTGCATATGACTCGACGGGCTGTTATGTCCCATAGGAAGTATTTAAAAAGCCAATGATTTACATCTCAAATTTTAGTCGATTCACGGCAATTACTCATTACAATAATCTAATGTTGTCAGTAGACGTAGTTTCACTTCCAATGTAGTTTAAATTAACCAATTGTAAAGGCTAATTAAGATGATTCATTGGTTGATAAATATGGATAATTCGGAATGCTTTAGAAGAATGTCACTTTTCTACCAACTTGTCAGCTGGATAGGATTATGAATAATCAAAAGGAAAAGACATGGAAAATGATAATAATGAGCTGTAAGATAGTGATGTAGCATTTTTTAATTTGAACACAAACATTGGTACAAGGGAACCACGCAATAACAATTACGTTAGTAGTGGTTGGAACACTGTCCGGGTGTCCAAAACGAAGCAGGTGGTTTTCTTAGGGGACCACATCTCGAGCCTTTGACCTGAAGGCCTAATCCACAAGGCAATGGAGCAACGTTAGGAGACGTAGTCCCATGGTAACCAGTGACCAGATTCATACACCTTTTGTTCCCTTAGGATCATGGAGCCTATGTACACCACTGGTTATAAATCAGGGTTTTATAACCCTCTTAGGCGGACCTTATGTGTTCATTAACCTGGTTAGAACGCCGGACATTCGCTTTCCGTCATCTCGATTTCGTAGACAAAATCCCCACAGCGAGAAGGTAGTGAATAAGACTTTCATGGAAGTGGCTGTATACGGGTGACCAAGTGAGAGCATTTCGAGAGGGAGAGCGGACTCTCCCCACCCTCAGCCGTACCAGGGCATGCAACTAAGTGGGCATGTTTTAGTTTACTATATCTGAATTAAATTAGTCTCGCAGTCGATTGTTAAAACACATGATACAAAGGAGTCAACTATATTTGAGTAGATACTCATCACCAGTTACCAGGACTGTTTTTACATCACAGGTGGTCAAAAGTTGTTAATGTTGGATCTTTAAATATTTCAATTCATTCGTTTGCTGGGATCATGCTTTCATAGGCCAGGAGTAGATACTGGTTCGATAAGGAATACATAGTTAATTTACCAATACAATCCTATGATTTTATAACAGTCAAAGTGCTCTTCATTACGAAATTTGAAGGTTGGCGATCGTTGTTCTGTTGTGAAATACCACTGCTACAGTTTAACCTTTTAATTCTCATTTAATTACGCAATGTATTGTCATCATTATTTTCCGATGTATAATATAAAATAACAGTTTATTTAAGATAATCTTTCAATTTTTTCTTTTTTGTTAGCTTTCTCCCTACTTTCCACTGTTGAAATTCTTTATCATGATGACTTATTGGTTGGTTACGTTTATCCTTCAATGCATGATAATCTCATCCCAATTCTACTTCTTGTTCAAGTGTTTCTATCAATAAACTGAATTGAATTCTAATCGTTTACCTCTACGTTTATTACATTTACCTCGTTCTACTCCACTAGCTGGAACTGCTGGTCTTGTTGATGCTTTTGTTAGTTTGGAAGCAAGAGTATTAGCTCGTGGTTTTATGGTAGGTTGCAAAAAATAGTTTTTTTTAAAAAAAATAATACTTTACGTTATAGACTGTTTTCGAAGAGATTGGTGGAATGGGTGTATGGCAAAGGTATTGGTGTCAGCTACGAGCTGATTATCTACATTTTTGGCGATATCCAGAAGATGAACAACGAGCACATTCTAACAATGCAGTTAATAACAAACATTTACATCCACCATTGGGTAGAATCGATTTACGGCATATTGTTACACCTGGTGCTGTTATATCACCTCGTTCTATTTGTGCTCGTGCAAATACAATTTATATGCGATCTCTTCGTGAAATTGATCCCAATTGTTTATCAGCTTCTATCAATAATAATAATAATACTAATAGTAATAGCACTACATCTGGGATTGTTAATAAAAAGAGGAGTTCAAATGAAAGTCTGATATTCCGTGCTTCTACTGATTATAGATGGTTGGAACAAAAGTGAGTTTTTTAAAGTTTACTCTTTAGAAACAATTATTTTTCTTAATATATCTATATTCACTTAAGAAGAATACGATTCAGTGATTCTAATCAAATTCTGTTCACATCTGTTTTGTGCATCTTGGATGCTATTTCTGACTCTCTCTATATATGATTTGCTTCGAGTTGTATAACGATAGACAGTGTGTTTGTTGTGAAATCCCTATATCAATTACTAATGCTGATCTAACTCCAGATACACGAGTAAAGATGATCAAGGTAGAATGGGGATTTCTATTGTTAAGAACATAACAACATTGCTTACAACTCATAAATGTTTTTATGTTGGCCAGATTGACTCAGGTAATTTGTAAGGGGAGTGAGTAGTTTATGTATTCTCAAAAGGGCCGGTCCACTTTTGTCTTTCATATATCATGCTGTTTTGAGACATTGTTTAATTTGTCTGACCTCGTTTAGCGTATCAGTGAAATAAATTGTTGACTAAATCTTTATGTTTTTCATCTATTAAACTTATTAATGGTTCCTCAATCTCAAGCTAATTCTCATCATGAACTTTTTATACCCTAAGAATTATCGGAAGTCATCTAGCTCTGTGTTGTCTTAGTTCGAGACTATTATTATATGACTCATCACGCTTGTAGTTAAAACCATACTCTGTTCGATTGGTCAATACAGCAAAAGTCACAATCAAGTCCATGCATTCACATTTGATCTGCATTTTTAAAAATAATATTTCATGATATCTCATTTCACTAACCAAACCGAATTAGATGGAACGGAATTCGAACCCGCAACTTTGTGCCTGAAAGTCAATCCAGTTAACTGACTTACCACCCAAGTGTGACAGGGCAATTGTCTAGCACATTCTGTTTTGCATAGAATTTTCTTTCATCTAATAATGACGCAATATCAAATGGATAAATTTAGATATCTATAAAGATGTAATTATTTTTCGGTTGTTTGAAAATCGTTCAGTGTTTTATTCTCTTAATTTTCTAGACTGAAGGTTTTAATGCTCAGCGAATTACACTTAAAACACTGGATTAAAATTTCAATTTAGGAACTTATTGCGCCAAAAAGTTATTCCCTTATTTTTCTTATTGTAGACTTTTTTTGATAGTTTGCACAACATTTAACCGCTCATTCTATAAGATAAATGATCTAATGGTTACACCACTCACGCTATTAGAGGTAGGTTACAGGTTCGAACTCTTGAAAAATACCTACTTCAGTTTAGTGTAGTTACCAGGTAATGCTTGCACTAGCTCATGTACTTACATTGCGCCTCAAAGCAGAGTACATAAATCTGGTATATGAGTAGTTAAACTGTGTGTGTGTGCATGTATTCAATCGACATTTTCAAATTTAAGTCTTTCAAGTTTTGTTTTATTTTATCTATCCAATTTTCCCAATTTCCACATAGACATTTACTTTGTGCTGATACATCACAAGAACGTGATGCTTGGATTACATGGTTAAATGGTTGTATAGAATCTTTGAAAGATTGGATGCCAGGACATTTCAATTGTTTATCTCGTTATGATGCTCAATTAGAATTTAATCAACCAGTATCATCTCAACTGGGTGCTTTGTTAATTCACGGTTTACCATCACAATCATCATCATCATCATCGTCATCTTCACCGGTATTAACCAAATAAACATTGTGTGACAATAATACATAAATTTAAAAGTGTTATCGCCACATGTGCTATTTTTCTCTCTTTTTTTTTCTCTTCATTAATCTATTGTGTTGTACACGCAAAGCGGATTGTTTCAATACATCATTTTTATTCTCTAAATTTAATTAAAAAAAAGAGTTCCTAATATACTTAATGTACTCTCTCTTTTATTTCAAGTACATACCCCATTTTAAATTGATTTCTCTTTGTATATACATACATATATATATATAAATCTGTCTATTCGTTGCTTCTCTTCCTGATTTACATTGTCAACAGTAATGAAAGTAGTTTGATTGAACTATTGTTTAGAAGATAGTTTTCTTCTTCTTCTCTCTGTTCATTATTAGTGCTTCATTTCATCTTGCCTATTTTCTATTTCTACACATAACATTTGTCTATATAACATTCATTTCTCTAACATTTATATGTTGTGTCTTGTTTTTATTGACAAATATATACAATAATATAGTACGGTGTTATTATTCTTCAATATAAATAATTTATAGGCATGTCCAATAAATATGCGAACTGACCTACTAGGGTTGTTAGTTATGAATAGAGTTGAGCAAACAATCTGTTAAATTTGTGTGCAAAACATCAACTTTCTTGTATCAGTGTAATTTTGATAGTCCCTCTGTACTTAAGTACTATTAATCTGTGAATTTTGTCAAATCAGTTATAATTGTTCGTGAGTAATTTCAGTTACCACGAGGCAATTGAGAAACCTGACTTCTGAGATCTACCAAGGATGTTTTAAACAATCGAAGTCGTATTGTATTGCGTTCAATTTTGCAATGAATGTCCTTGTGATCTCAGTTCGCGTATTTATTGGACAAATAGTTTTTTTTGGGGGAAACATTTTGTTTGTTGTTTGATTTCATAATGGTTGTCAATCAACAAGTGAATAGTTTTTCAAAATTTGTTCACTGAAAACAAGTTCATATTCAGTTCTTTGATCCGATTGTCACCATCTTTTATTAACCGTAAACTTACATAATGGTTCTTGATGTAATACTTGCAGTCCAATTGTCTTCTGGAATATAGCATATGCATAATCCATATTGCTCATTTCCCGCTGTCACTTTGAGCCAAAACTACAATCATGACTGATATAGCATTGCCCCAAAGTGATCTCCACAGAGCGCCTGACAAACACAATGATTGTGTTCTTACTATTGAATAGATTAAAGATGTATTCTCGAAACTTAGGAGAATTTGTGATGATTACTTAGTTACTCAGTTCCTGAATTTTTATTGAGAAGCCATGACCAGTGTAGTCCATGTTGCGTGTTAAGCAATTACGTTAAAAATGTTAATCATTGGATACTCGCTCAGAGATCTAAGGATCATGTGCTCGCTGCGAAGTCCGAAAGTCCAGGGTTCGATTCCGAGTTGGTTTTGTGGGCTGGGCCTTTAAATGAGTCATATCGTACGACCTAATAACTCCTGTGTTCCCTGATTTCCCATAGTTTACCAACCATGGTCGTTGCCTGGTGTAAACTACAAGACTCAACAACAGCCTTCATAAACCCTTCAAACAAGTAGATGCTTTGTTATTTATGGTACCTAGCAGCTTGAGAGGAAGCTATGTTTTAACGGTATACAGAGATATGTTTTGCATCTCCATCTAGCTGTTGGAATGCATTAAATCATACAAAAATTAAATCTTGAACTTCTTTTCCTTACTGCATGTGAATAATCCGACAAGATTTCTTTTTGAATAGATTTTACAATAAAGGTAATTGGTCACTGCCGCGCTAATAAAAGCTGAAAATGAATAACGGTGAATTTAGTTTGCTGAGTAATTTTTCATCACAAACAGATTTCAGCTAGACAATACCGGGAACTATCGTGTCAATGGAAATCTGTTTTGTGTAGCTAACCTTTACACATAATTGTATATATTACAGCTTAGTGTATAAGACTATAGATAGACGGTAATCAATTACATTATCCACCAATTTGTGCTCATAAAAAATGTATGTAGTATAGATAAATAAAGTTGGAGTTAACTAAACACATAGTATTTAGTATACTCAGTATATGTATATACATTTAGACATAATTACTTCATAACATTACTGAAATGGATGTAAGTGACAGAATTTGTAATTTTGTTCACCATACAACTAATCCTTCAATCTCAACACTGCAAATAACTTTTGGTTGACAGAACCATTAGCTTAATGATTTATTTTATGAATTCAAGTAGTTAACTTAGTATACAAGATATTCAACTAAATAAACATAATCTTGTTACTTGTTAAATAACAGAAGATCAATAAAATAATGAGTGCAAGGTGACAGTTACACTATTTCCTGTCTAAAATATCATTTCCTATAATGCACTTCACTCGAATTTATGAAGATATGAATAAGAATAAGCTGGGGATGAAAAGTGTATCCCAAGAGAGGCCGAAATGTTATAGGGTAACCTTGCACCTACTGGGTCTGTTCACCAGGTCTAATTAGTAGGAAAATCATAAGTCAACATTGTTAGGCTTCTCTTGCTTTTCTCATGAAACCATTGGTGGTCTACCTAAAATTAGATAGTGATCTTTCATTTCTACCCGTTGTAACAATATAAATATATGCTTATTCGATGTGGTTGAATGTATGGATACTTACTATATTTAGGTCAGTTAGTCGCAACGTAGAACATGGTATGTATGTACAGCGCTTCAAGTTTCCGTATCCGATTAGCAGAGATACGAAAATTTTGGGGCATATCTCAGAGTAGTAGAGGCAGTATCATTGATAATAAAAAAGATCAGCTGTCGAATATAAGATTCAAGAAAATATATATTAGTGAAATAAAAACATGAGAAATCCAGAAGTTTAGAATTTGAGAGAGAAGACAGAATGGATGCACCTGCATCATTGTAAACCATTTCGAGCCATGTTACCCAAAGTCTCTAAACTCTGGTTACGATAATTACATGGACTACAATCAAGTAATATACACCTATTAACATGACTGAATCCGATAGTCATTGTCTTCATGGACTGATACCAGGTTTCGATTTGGCCTCTCTTGTCTTCCTCACAACCTACCACTACACCAGACAACATGGGGTAGTCAGTGCTTGAGTGTACGTTACACATGTCCAGGCCACTTCATTTGATGAAAATTTACTACCTGATCAATCGATTTAGCAACATTACCTAGTAGAGTACCTTATTTGGAACTTCGACATTACTGACTCGTAGTTCCCAAATACACGAGTGATGCTTGGAAGACGCCTATGATCGAATATTAGTAACGTGCGAATATCTACTATTCTTAGGGGAGGGGAGGATATTTGACACTGACAAAGTAGAACGCAGCGAACCGTTGTGCAGTAAACTCATCGTTTTTGGTCGGCAGATTGTTATCTCACCTATGCCAAAATAACACAAGTTGATAAAAATCAGTCGAGTCTTATGAACCCGTGGCGTTAACGCAACTTAACCCTAAATCAAAGTTTTAAATGATGGGGTATACAATTACATTCCGATGATTCTTGCATTGTTTGTTAAGGTGGTTAGAAGACTCTGCATATGGGAGTTGAATCATTATTTGTCTTAAAAATAGATTTTTATAAGTTGTACAAGTTCAAATAGATTCTCATTTTGTGCTCACTTGTACTTGCTTCAGAAGGAATACTCAAAGTTATAACAAGTCACTTGAACTCATTGATTTAAAAGTAACGTGCTTACAATGGAGATCTTGACTACACGTTAATTATAATGATACAAATGTCTTATATTTCATATGTTCAATGATTTGTCAGTTATCAGTATGTGACTACAATAAACCTCAAGTAGTTATTTTTTCTTTATATTATAAAACCTAACTGAATTAATTTGACTTTCAGGTATGCACCATTACATCATAAGTTATCATTTTTGTTCTCATCTATTTCAGTGTATTCAATGATCAATGTTTTTCTAGTTTATCTGTCAATCTTCAACATCATCATCGAGTTTGATTTAATTTGAATACTTTAAAAATACTAATAATGTCCCAGTTATATTTGAGCCGCTCATCTTCTTCTTGTTCCTCTTCGACATTATCATTGTCTTGTTCTATCTATGGATTTGTACAATGTATTAGTCGAAAATTTCTTATCAAAAATAAATATACTATATTTATTAAAATCACTTCAAATTCAGATTGTTTTTGTCATTCTATATATAATGTAATTATTCAATGGAATGTAAAAGATGATGATAATACAATGATTGAAGAGAAATGTTTACAATTTTTACATCATTGTCCAATAAGATGTTGGATTTCTATACATAATTTAAAAGAAAGTCGAATCTATTATAAACAGGTAAACAGTTTTCTTATGGATTTATTCAATATAAATAGTTTTGTGGTTTTATGTTTATTCGCCCCCCCCCCCAAATACCCTGGTACGGTCGAGAGTGGAGAGAGTCAGCTCTTTGTTATATTTAGTCGTCACTGATTGTTGTGCCGGAAAACGCTGATCACTTATACTCGGAACGAGGGACCTCGGTAATTCCCACGATGCGAAAGTAAGAAAATAAGACTGGTATAAGTAAAGATTTATTAGCCCCAAAACACTATGACGACGATGATGATGATGATAATAATAATGAATGAATAATAATGGTCTAAAATACACTGGTTTATATAATGATTGTACACCCATTCTGATTAATAATTAGGATTAAATCACATACTCAGTTATAACAAATCACTTACTGAGCATAGTTCGTGTCAACTGAATACAAGAATATCGTATATTATACAGAAGAAAATATCATACTGGAAAAACAAACCAAATACTACACTGAATGATCCTCACGTTGAATCAAAACGGATGTTGAATGTTGAATAAAACTCATCATGAGTAATTCAATCGAAAATTGTCTTTTCTTTCCATCATCTCTCTCTCTCTAAATCCTTTCACATGGCCACGTGGATACAACCACTGCCACGAAAGTCCTACTCACTGCCTTCTCATGGTGGGGGTTGTTGTTTACGAAATTGAGAGGAAGCAAAGCGAATGTTTAGCGATTTAACCGGTTGGTAGATATGGAGGGTCCACCTTGTTGAGTTGGAAAACACTGATTCCAAACCAGTGGTGTACATGGACTCCAGTATCCTAAGGAAACAAATGGCATATGAACCTATTGTTTATAATTTATGGATGACCTTTAAGCGACGCTAGTGTCAAAGGATTACTTACGGGAAATCTACTCAGAAAGTTTCTGTTTGTTAAAACTGAAAATGTGAAACTGTGTGATATTATAATATGAACATTCAATCCATACTGATTAGGCCATTATTTCACTCTTGAATTCGACTGCTTAAGCTTGTAGCGTAGCGTCGAGTCGCGGTTGACTATGATTAACACTACAGGAAGACTGCGTGCCAGTTAACCGATAAGATTATACAGAAGGCAGTTGATGGCTGTAGTCGAGATGTATTTGCTGGCGATCGCGTGGTATCTAAAGGATACCGAGATCGTGCCAGGTTACAAGTGTGGTTACTGAGCGTAACCGAATACGTGCAAAATCATAATCAACGGAAGAATGTATGTATTTTGGTACAGATAAACAAATAAGTACAGTAAAACAGTCACTGGTACGATTTGTTATAATAATAATTGTTTCCATTAAACCAATCGCGTTCTCTTGATAAAAGTAGGTCACTACAAGCTTTTACAAACGAATAGCATTTCATACAATAAATTTGAGTCTTATTTTATACTGTATAGAAGTTGATTATCACAGTCTTATATAATCTGTTTATTAAATCCTTTCGCTGATTTTATATTTTCTATGCTTTTTGTTGTTGTTATTTTTACTTCTCATAGAATCGAGAAAGTAAAGTATGGCTTTTTATACCAGATCAAACGTATATTGAACCATTACCTCGTTCTAGAATACCTTCAAACTGTATTCATGAATGCTGTTTGTCACAGTCATTCTCACCTACTACTACTTCATCATCATCATCATCATCAAGATCATTTCCTGTAGGATTAATTCCTTCCATAGAATTATCTCTTATCTCTAGTCATTGTAATGGAATTTTTTTGGAATTCGAGCGAATCAATCATCCTCATCATTATTGTCATCCAAAATGTAACCAACATTATTTATTATTGAATATTGATAAAACGATTCAATCCGTTGATAAGTTATTATATCGACAAAATATTAAGCTATTTAATATTTGGTCGTTTTTCACTAATACTAATCATGATAATAACAAAACACATTTCTATGCTCTACTTATTCCAGGCATCTATTCATCATCATCATCAACCATAGATATAGACAATAAATTATCTACTATTTATTCCAAGCAAACTATTCATTGTCATAGTGATTGTTTTAATTTTAATGAACCATTGAATAAAAAGAAATTTTCATTATTATTACATGATTTAAATTATTTATTTAATTTTTGTTTGGCTTATCAAATCAATAGTTTACAATACAAGGAAGAAGTTATACATTACAAGGTATGTTTAGTGGATATGTCACTTAATTTCATGGATTAGTTGAAGTTAGACATTAACATCATTGGATGACAGTCGGCTCTGTGCGTGTGCTCGCGCGTGAGACTGGTAGATCTTGGGTTTTAATTGCGTGAGATGGAGTCGTAGATGCTTACTGCTGAGGAGTTCCACAGTAGGATGAAATGACCCTTCAATGTTTCCAGGTTTCCCATGGTCGTCTAGTTTCAAATTGACTCATGATCTCAACTATTAAAAATCATTGAAATTGTTGTGCTTTTTTTATTTTTGAAGTATTACACTTTTTTAACTATCATCTATCTCATCGTGTAATGTTGGCTGGAGTAGATGTAGTCGGAAGAAACTTTGTGGCAACTAAATGAAGACATGAAATCAGTTCATAAACTCTTTGATATTAACTGTAATGGAAGATGTAGGCTATCTGGTTAAGTTTATTATTATTATTATTGTCAGTAATTGGAGACGTTGGTTAACCTAAGTCGGAATGGATTACAATTGTGCTGGATACCTTCACTTCTTATTTTGTTGTAGATCTTGAGTCTCAATACTCCTCTATACATACTTTTTCATTTTGTCTTTTCGAACTGTATACTCAATGTTCAATCTTTCTCATGATTATTATTTCAGTTTCTTTGCTATTCATCTTTTTCAATTCGTCTCATTGTGACAATATAGTCTTGAAAACTTGTGTTAATGCACATTTGTGATAGGCACTTCTCTATGAGAGTTACTGATAGCTCGTCTATATGACAGGAAACTTGTGGTTTGAATTCAGATACACTGAATAACATAAACTGATTTTATCTTTTTTTAAAAAACTTGGCTCAACTCAATAAATTAATATTGTTCTAAAGAGTTTATAAGTCGACAGTGGGAAAGAATAAATTAGACAGACAGTTATAACGTAATATATATGATATCCTTGAAAGTAGGGCCAAAATATGGTATATTTAAAGATAACCAATCAGTGGGAAAGAAGTTATCTTTGATTGCTTTAAAAATGATAAGATAACCCCTGAAGGAAATCTCACGGAAAAAAAACCCATATTTACAAATAGGAAATTACAGATAGAAGTCTATCTGAAGTTTATGCTGATGATGTCGTTCAGAAGAATGATGAAAGCTCCACGACCAAACCATCCAGCTCAGAGAACAAAACTCCACCAAAATCATCCACCTGAGCTACGAATCTTCTCCACCATCTCAAAATTACAAGTAGGCGGTTTTTCCTTAGGAGGTGACGGGGAGATCTCAACATCTTCAACTGATACTATTCGCCTGTGCAAGTTGAAGAAAGGTGAGTAGAGTTTCAATCTGTGATTAGAAGTTGAGTATTTAAATCGTGTACTAAACCACTGTATTTCAATTATAGTGCTTGTTTTGTATGGCTGTTGGAGATGTTAACTTTTCAATAAAACACCTACTTACTAGTTACTTGATTTTATAAACTTGAATTTTCCACTTTTTTGAGTCAAATCTCTCCCATGGAAGCCACTCCTCGCTTTGATTGCGTTTTAAAATGCTGCTTTTTGCCATTTCATGAATGTTCTCTTAGTATGCTAAATTTCTGTTGCATTTTCAATGTAATTATATGTATATATTTATAGCAAGTGTTGATTGCCTGAATCGATCTTCTATAGTCTATACTGATAATTAATTCATTGTCATAAATTTCCTCATTTGGAGTAGTTGAGCCTAGGAGTTACTATTCCTAGTTCTAGATACATTAATAAAATAAAATGTGTTACATTTATGATTTTGCACTGATGTGACTCCATCCGAACACCTTAAGCTGAATCCGAAAAACAAGATTTTTTATCTCAAGAAAAAGATGATATATTGGGTCAATCAGAAATCGACTAGATGATAGGTGCATGTGATGATTGATCAAGAAATGGCTTTCATTTTTTAGGAATGAAACATAACAATGGTGGCCTAATTTCCAAGGAACATATGTATATGAATAAGTACACATATGTTTGATTCGGTTTAGCCAATAAACTCCGTTCCTCACTCTTAGTATTTTAACTCAATTAGCTGGTTGGTTTTGTTTATAAAGAAATTATGTATCAATATCAATTCTTAGAACAACACATAATTACTATGTTCACACTTTTAACATTATAATATATAAAAATGTGTTATGAAGAAGTTCATATTTAGGCCAAGTTTACTACTGATATTAACTACTTATAATTGTTGGTTAATCTGCATTTTCTAGTGATTGTGTGTTTTCACTGATTGAAATCATGAGTCAATTGAAGCTAGACCACCATGGAAAACCTGGAAGCACTGGACGGCCGTTTCGTCATAGTATGGGACTGACTTCAAGAGATACTCCCGGAGTTTTAGTGAGAAGCCGTTACCAGTGGAGTTCAACCAGGTCTGTTGTGAGATAGTAACTCACTGAAGACAATGGTGTACGGTAGCGCAACTAAGTGGATTGGCTGAAGTTAGACATTAACACCACTGGATGCGAGCTCAGTGGTCTATTTGATTGAGCGCCTGGCGCGAGACCGATAGGTCCTGGGTTCGAATCTGTCGGGGTGCGGGATCGTGGATGCTCACTGCTGAGGAGTCCCATACTAGGACGAAACGGCAGTCCAGTGCTTCCAGGTTTTCTATGGTGGTCTAACTTCAAATGACTCATGATTTCAATCAGTGAGATAACATTAGTAACAATGAGTGATGATGTATTCTCTATGCTATTTAATAGATACTTTGTGCTAAATATAATTCATTCATGCGTTCTCAATATGTTCCCCTCTGAGCTACTGAGTCCAGATAATCACTAACTTGTTTCGCCGGTATGATGCTTATTTCATTATTAGTAGGAAGTGTTTATACTACTTATTAATTTTACAGTAAGTAACGCTAATACTGATAATATTCTGTTTAACAGTTATCCATGTACTTTACTTTTTATGATTATTTTCTATTTCCAGGAGAATATATTAAGAAATCAAGACTGTACATTGTCTGAATTATTTAAACATTTACTATCCAATTTGTTTATTCAATCAAGAAATATCAACTTCAAATCATATCAATATGCTGAAGATTTTATACAATTCCCATTCATATCCAACGTCCAAGAAAATTATCAATCCTTCAATTTCGTGAAAGATAGTATCATTGATTTACACGATATTATTGCTAGGCTTCAATCTACTGACAAATCAATGGAATTGAAAAACGATTCTGAAGAAATTCGTACATTTTCAACAACAGATCAGTGTTTTAAATGCATTTATTCCTCTTATTGTACACAATTTATACCATCAAAGTCATCGTCATTATTGTCAACAACAATGAACCATTTATGGCATGTTCAAGTATGCAAAACACTGTATGTCTTGAAAATTTTTGCTCGACTCAAAAGAAATTTGGTTCTTCGTCCATTGAGTGTATTGTTTTGTTATTATCATTATTTCAGTGGAATCAATAATTGAGCTCTGGACGCCTGTTTCGTCCTAGCATGGTACTCTTCGGGGATGTACACCCACGATCCACCCAAATAGGAGTCAAATCCAGGACCTTCGATCTGGTCCGTGAGTACAGTCTCTAAACCATTTTAGCCGGGATCCAATTATGTATAGGTCTAACCCCAATTAATCCATAATATTGCGCGATCATCTTCCTTTTTTTCGGTAGATAATTTCTTCACACTCGATGAGGTTTAATTCCATTTGTGATGGCTCCTCATTAAAAACTTGGGTTTTCAGTGGTTGTCTAACTAAGATCAATTTGTGATTTCACTGAAATCCAACAATCTCCACAGCTCCACACTGATTATTATTATTATTACGTTTGAAGCTCTTAACTTGAGTGGTTAGTTATTCATAAATTATATTCTGTTCCAGGTTCTACGTTGTGTATTACTGACTGAATAGCTGATTTAAATCTAGGATATATGCACATTGATTGAAATTCCCACTCCACATACATATCTGCACAGCGAGATAAAATGATCAAAACAAGTTCCACTGTAATAGAAGTACTAACATTATCAGTGTTAATGGAAAACGTTAGGTAAATACGTTATGATTGCAGAAAAAGAATAAATTCGAGAGATAGAAAATATAAGATAATTTTAAAACTTAAGATTTAAGTTAAGACAATACCATGACTGAATACATCTACACAAATGTCTGATCGTAATAAGGAATAATTATTTTAATTGAAACTACATTTGATTACGAATAACTATCTAAATCGTCATTAGAAAGGGTCATATATGTATATGGAAAGAGAGAGAGAGAGAGAGAGAGAGAGAGAGAGAGGAAATCCACAGCGGATATACATGTTTCAACAAAGATTGATCAGAATTTTTCTCTGATGTCAACATCAAAATAACTAAACAATTTGCCAATATTTTCACCGTCGAAACCACGAATCAATCTTAGCTAGATCACTATTGAAAACCTGAAAGCACTAAACGGCCGTTTCGTTCTGTTAGGCATCTCCTCAGCAGTGGGCATCCACTCTTGATAATGATTTAAACATTCTCTCCATAACTCAATGAATAATGCGTTATACGTTCAAAGAGAATATTAGATTCAAATATCAGTATAATGTACATAACCACTAGGATCCAATTGTATTTAGCTAACAAGTCTCGAATAGGACGAAACATGCCTCCTCCTAGATTCTACTGTTAAGAACTGTCCATCTATTTTCAAATTACTTCATGCTATTTTTCATTAGCATTCTGATTCATATATTTTCTTTACTGAAAGGATACGAGACTTAAAATTGATCTTTTCTCTTATTTCATTTGTGTATTATACAAATTAGCTTACAAATAAGATTACATCATAATAAGTTTCAACAATATCGTCGTTCATTCAAACGTTTAATTCCGATTTCATCAACTATGACTCAAACAACGCCAAAGAATCATTTAGAATCATCATTGTATGTGATTGGGAAAATTCTATGGAATAATACACATGGTTGTTTTTATTTACAAACTGTACATAAGAGTATTTTTAATCATTTCTGTAATGATAATAATGATGGTCATAATAATAATAATAATAATGAAAAGGATAATACTGTCTCTATTCCATTGATATTTAATATGAATACATCAGATGAAATCAATGTATTATTTCTACCATCCGATCATAGTTTAATATTATTGAAGGATGTACAAGTATTGTATGAAGAAGAGAATTCAGCGGGAGTAATCACTTCTGGAAATTGGTTAGTCAAATATTTTTCGTTCAAACAAATTATATTTCTAATTCATTTTGTACTGTTTGTTTGAGTCTTCCCATTGATGTTTAGGACTGCAATTGATCAGTCTCCTATTGGTAGTATTATGCATCCTGTGCGTATTGCTTCAATATTGCTTTAAGTCACAAGCATTATAAGTAAAGATGGACAGTGACTAGCAGTGGAGTCCAGGACGCGCGTTTTGTCTTATTTTGGACTCGTCAGCTGGATTTACCTACATCCCATAGTTGATGTTCACTTCGGGACTCGAACCAAGTACCGTCGCTTAAAATGCCAGGACTCAGTGGCTAAGTGGATAACGTGATGACGTTTGAAGTGAACGATACTGAGTTCAGGTTTGGGAGTGAAAATCAATTGTGTGATGCAGGTACATCCAGTTGACGAATCCCGAATAATACGAAATCCTCATCCTGAATTCCACTGCCAGCCAACATTCATCTTTGCTTAAGTTGTATTTCAGGTTATAATTGAAATATAATATAATTGTCCATATTGATTAGAGACATTTGGCGGGAATTTCTGTTCAATCTATGTGTTTCCGTAGTTGGTACTCGCACAAGGTTTGGTTATGATCTTGAGGGAGAATTGATGCTTTTCATGGGATTCATTCAGTTCCATAGTGTGAGACTTTAAAACTGAGTGATTTTGATCATGATTTGCTTTTTTTAGGACAAAGATATCTACATTGTTTATTCACGAAGTAATAACCAATATTGTATCTGTCTAGTCTTCAATTCTCATTGAATTCTATGGGGTAAGTTCATGAAATTATCCTACATCACGTATACATTCATACAAATCTGAAGCTCCATAGGTTTGATATTTATAAAGGTGTAATACCACTAATAATTCCTAAACAGATAGAATATAACTATTCTTATATTCTGGTCAAATAATAATCACTCCAAATTCTTGTTTGAAGATGATTCTTATCACATATTCCATCTCATTGCCAGTTTTTTTTAATAACCTGAACAAGAACTGATATGACTGGATTTAATGATGTAGAAACATATTACTGACAGGTAAAGATGTATTTCACCATGCAAATCCTGAAATGTTTTTATGATTTCCAGCAAATTTTTTTGCCGAGTTAATTTCAATGATTATCCATTAACAAATTTCACACTGTAAGTTGATGCTAAATGAAAGGCACGAAGTAAGAATAAAAGCTTCATTTCAAGATTTTACTGAAAACATGCTTATATATGTATTTTAGATTGGCCTTGGCCTTCTAGAAACTTCTGGAAATGCACTAGATATGGCAACAAAATAAGTAACTGACCAATCAAAATGTGACACAATGCTTTATTCTTATGAACACTTCTGATAACTTTCGATTTGATGCTGGTTGGACGAAACGTCTTCAGTCTTTTCTGAGTGTCTAGAGACTTTGTCGAGAAATTTTTGATAGCTGTCAACAATAACTCTCTTATTCTTCTTTTACTAAAGTTGGTCGCTGAAACTCTGTAAATTCTTCTCGGCATCTCCATCCACCACTGTATACAAAAATCCTGGTAGCTAGACTTGTAAAGTGCTCAACTTTCAACAGATCGATTTCAAGTTCAAACTTCACATAAATTCAATGCAAGCTTGATTGAGACCCAATTGATTACTCCAAAATGCAAAACGTTGCTTCAGGGTTAACTTGTGTCAGCGCCTCCATTAATTATACAGAGTGAAGTGATTGAGAGTATCGATCGATTTACATATCATGGTAGTCTCATCAGTTCTAATATGGTACTGTCTGACGAAATATCGACATGGATTCATAAAACTCGACTGGTTTTTGTCAACTTGTGTTTACTGCACAATAGTTCTCTCCGTTATATTTTGTTGTTAACATCACGAGTTGATCTGAGTTAGACAACCATTGAGAACCTGGGAGCACTGTACGCCTGTTTCCTTTTAGTATGGGACTCCTCAAGCGTTCATTCACGATTCCGCACTTTGGAATCGGACCCAGGACTTTCGACCTCGAGCGCGAGCGCTTAACCTCTAGACCACCACATCGTTGAGTGCTAGCTCAGTTGTCTAGAAGTTGTGCTTACGCGCGCGGAACTAGATGTTCTGGGTGTGTGGTCGTGGATGCACACTGCTAAGGTGTTGCCTACTAGAACGAAATGGCCGTTCAGTGATTCCAAGTTCTTAATCGTGGTCCAACGTGGATCGGTTCATGATTTCTATGAACAATAACTTTAATATTAATGATATATGAGCAAACTACAGCTTTATTTGAATAATTATTCACAATTTCAGTGCTGATATGCCATTTCATTCAACTGATTCAGTATCATCTACATCCAGAATGTATATTCATGCAAAACAAGTCATTCCATTTCAAGTAAATTATTTATCTGAAAGTATAATGGATGATTATGCTAAACTACGGGAACAACAACAATCTTGTACAATTGTTCTTGTCAATCTAGGTCCATTATCCTGTTGTTCTCCTGAAGCTTCTGTCGATCCTAATGGACATTCTCCCTCTTCGAATAAACTATTATGGTCCTATATGTTTGCTGGAAAATTCATAGAAAATAATACTGTTGCAATCGTTAATGCTGCTACTTTTAACAATGGCAGTAGTGTCGATTCAAATTTGATGTATCTATCATTGACTGGTGATTTAGCTTATCGATGGTATTATAATTTTCAAATTGGATATCATTACCAACTTAGTTGGGTAAATATTAACAGTTCAACATCATTTAATCATGATCAATCACCTCTTCGACAATTAATTAGTGTTTCGATTTTAAACAACTCAATTCCTATGAATAGAGAGAATCTTTCCTTTGTTAATGTTGCCAATTTAAATGATATTATGCACGAACGATCCAATTATCCAATTGGTTGTTTGCTCAACTTTGAAGCAGTCATTTTATTTAAACAATATTCTTCATTGAGTGGCGATTGGATATTATGGGTGACAACTTGTAGTGAATTGCCGAAAACACTGTCTAGTCTCAATAATATTGACGTAACCACCGTATACAAGGTGAATCTATTCAGAAGGACTAAATCAGTGAATAATCTTGACCTTGTATCATTGTTCACAACGTCTAATCAAATGATATTATACTGTAGATTTACCAATTTCTCACTTTCTGCGATCACTCCAACGTCATCATCATTGGCTAGTTTACACCTTAATTATACTGATTTATCACGCATCATAATCGTGAATCAGACGAATATGGATTCAATGTTGGATAAAATTAGTACACAGTTGTCAGATAGTTTGACGATCTCATTAGATAATGAATATGACAATAGTTTAATTGTAACCAAAGAACCAAAATTATTAATAAGTAATAATTATGATTGGATTGGTGGATCCATTTCCACAGGATATTCAAATGTAGAAGGCGATTTATTGAAAGAGCGCATTAATGTACAGGCTACAATTACTCGATGTTTAGAATTCCAAATTTATAGTCTATCTAACACCGCCGGTGATGATCGTAAGTGGAAGACGTGTTTGTTTCTTCAGATGGTTTTTTTAGTTAATCGTTGCTAGATGGATCTCAAATTGTCTAGTTTCCTTATTTTTGTTAATACATGATAGCTCTGATGCTGTATAAGGATGTCTTCGACAACGGTTTCCTAATTCATTTGTTCCCATTGACCTTTAGTGACATCTGTTTAGTTGTTCTTGTTTCCAGTCTGATATGTTTATCATTGTGTTTCTGTATGAACATAATTATACTACAATTTTGACGTCTTTGGATATCAAGCTTCTTGGTTAGTTCCTGAATTCTTTTCTCCATCACCTTGAGGATGGTTGTCAAAGTGTTGCACATGAATCGTCCGCCCCACGTAGTTCGCTTAGATTCTATGTTGTATGATAATAATCTTTTAATTATTGTAATAACAAACAACAATTCTCCGGATGTGAAACGCAGTACAGTTCTTCCAGCGTTTTGTCAGTGATCGCGTTAGTGCTTGAAAACGTAACATTAAGATCTAGTTTACGAGATGTTGAATACCTCAGACGTGTGACCACGTTACAACTTGAACGACCGAATTCAATCCGCACTAAAGACGAAAATGGCATTAGTTAGGACTCAGTAATTATCCGATATAAATATCTCCATTCTACAGAGAAAACTGGTCAGTCGTAGACTTAGTACTGCAGTGTTATCCCTCAGAATATGACTTAAGTTTGAATAATGCCACATTGAGCATTGATTCTTTTAATAATTACTGACAATACCCTGCTGATGATGAGTGCTAATTAACATGAAATATTTGGGTCAATCACAGTCTCCCAGTGATTGCCTCCATCCATTTTAAAAAATACACGTTAAAGAGTATGGACTTGGAAATCGAGATTGTTAGTCAGGAACTTAATTGATTACAATACGAGTAACGCCCCCAAATGCCCTCGTACGGCCGAGAGTGGGGAGAGTCCGCTCTCTCTTTCGAAATGCTCTCACACGGCCACGCGTATATAGCCTCTGCCAGGGAAGTCCTACTCACTGCCTTCTCGTGGCGGGGATGTTGTTTACGAAAATAGGAGGACGAGAAGCGAATGTCCTGTGCTTTAACCGGATTTCAAACCAATGGTGCACATGGGTTCCAGTATCCTGCGGGAACAAATGGCGTATGAACGAATCGTTGGTCACTGGCTTCCATGGGACTGCATCTCCTTACGATGCTCCCAAATGGGAAGTTTTTTATGAAGACAGATAAAACGAAGCAATTATAAACAACGAGAGCTAATTTTGGGACAGTATCTTGGTTAATTGGAATAAACTGTATAACAGTCCCAGTTAAATCATTTTCTCGCTATCCACTTACTAACCTATCAGGTCATCATAGTTTAGTGATAGGATAGTTTTGTTCTCTTTTCCCTCAAGACCGTTCTAGTCATTAGTCGAACACATGCGTTGGAAATCTCAAGGTCGTTCTAAGAAATCTATCGCGTCAAAGCTGGATTCGCGAACGGACAGATCTAGGACGTAACAATAACTCTAACAGTTAGGTTGTGTTGAAAACTACTTCATTTTCACAGTTCAATAATAAATACTTTATCTGGATCCTGTTTGTGTCCACTCACTCGAACATTGATCGACTCTTACCTGGTTTTCACTTTCGATTTTAGAAAATGACGATTTTGCTAATCTAGGCATTTGTATACGATTTGTAATCACTGACGGTAGCGGCAGTGCATTGGTACAATTGGGTCATCCGTTTATCATACCTTCCTTATTATCTAGCGGTGTTCCTTGTCAGATCCTGTCGAATAATGATTCATCCTCAACAAGTCCTAAAGATAATTTGGAATTAGCACGTCTTTTATTAGGATTGAATTGTTTAATTTGGAAACGATTATGTTGTCAATGGAAACGTTTATTAGATCAAGGCGTTGATTTATCATTCAATTTTTATGAATTTACAAATGATAATACAACTTCTGAATGTAACACCTCTTCATTGTCCTCTTCATCCTCTACATCATTTTCATCTGAAGTCACTTCATCAAATAAAAAGTATAACTTGATACCAATTAAATTAGCATTGAAAACTTATTTGAATTCACCGACATTTTTAAGAAATTGTCGATTCACATTGAAATACAGAACTAAGAATGTTCCATATTGTCATCGATCCACCACAACATCAACCACGTCTTTATCGAATTCTGCCGATCATTGGCGATTGAAACAGATTAATTTAAAAGATAGTGATAATTCTGTATATTCTCATGATAATCACCTTTGTCAACAACGATCCGTTTACTTTGTTCTACCTCCATATAGATTGTACACCTTATTAAATGTTACCTCTCATAATGATGATTTCAATGAATTATGAATGATGGTTTGTGTTTTAATAGAACTTTTTTTAATATTTTTGAAGTGTTTTCAACATATGACGGTTTATTTATGGGAAGTGGCTAGATAATTAAACGTAGTCTGTCAAATATATACTGTACCTGAGCTGTTAGAACTAGTAATTATAAATATGGTTAGTAGTCGAGCAATTAATCACATTGTACTTAAATGTATGTTATTCTTATCTTGGATTAGTTTGACCCATTTTCTTTCAAATAATACTCATTGTTTAGAGTTTTGACTCTTATAGTTTGTCTAACAACTACGCAAATTAAACTAGTCTTCTTAGTTCGTTAGTATTTTTTGAAAAAAAGCTTATATATTTTGATCAGTATGGGGATTTGTGGAGATCCAGTGGAGTCCAATCCGTGTTGGGTGTGAGACAGCTGTCCACCTCAGCCAGTCAATAAATAGTTGCATATGATCATGGATCAATTTAAGTTAGATATTAGAACTACTGGATGCCAGCTCAGTGATCTAGAGGTTAAGCATTCGCGCGCGAGACCGAAGGTCCTGTGTTCGAGACCCATGTTTGAGGTCGGAGATTGACACTGATGAGGAGTACCCAGAACGGCCGTCCAGTGTTCTCAGACATTCAATGGTAGTCTGGCTTAAATCGAATCGTGAATTCAACTGTTATATATTTTGATTGTCGCACTAGTTCACCACCTCTACTCATGTGATTTTTAGATCATTTTGGAACCCATTTAATCCAATAAATTAGTAATTTTTAATTGTAACATTTCACATGGAAAGCTTCACTGAAGTTAAAGGATTCAAGATGATCCAGATACATATATATTTTTAAAAAGGAGGGGGGACACTGACTAGCAAAATCAAAAACAAAACAAAAATGAGCAAGAATAAGCCGAACACCATGGCGTAATCTCATCACTTCTAGGTTATTTGTAAGAAATAGGAGATAAGATGGTTCAAATACAAGAGAGAGAGAGAGAGAGAGTAAAGTATGAAAATAGTGTTAACGACTGATGAATATAAAGCCAAGTATGAATTATATATGGGGAAGGGAGGATATAGCAGATGAGATAGATAGAACTTGTGGGATCCAACAAATGCACACTAGATTTAGGTATGTAGTTTAAAACTAAACGGAATGCACTCATTAAGAAATCAAAATTACAAAGTTCAGTTTAGAGAAAAGTTTTTTTTTCTTCGGAGAATTCATTTTCAAGGCGTACAATTGCAGATATTTTGTTTCTCAGGATGATATTTAGTAATTTGCCCATTATTGCTACTATGATGTTGTAGTGATCAGAACATGGGTGAGGACAATCGAATCGTATTTAGCACAAAATTACAGAGTATCTCAATAAAATCTGAAAACCATATAGTAAATCGTCATTTTGCAAAATATCAATCCATCATATCAAACTGGGCTGTTCCTGTTGCAAACATCTATCCATTGTCTCCCATTCCATTGTTCATGCGTTTTCATACAAATTGCATTGTGTTCATGCTCTTCCTTTCTTGATCTTCCGCCATCTTTTGCTGCCAGACATTACGTTTTTAACTCGCGTTATATACTACTTATGTCAATATAAGTAGCACACCACAATGTGATGATAATTATTATTATGATGATGATAAACGTTGAGTGATATGATAAAATTAAGTGCCGACGTTGAGATGAACCATGATTAGAAAGAGAATGCAACGAAAATGAAATATATTGGTTTAGGGGTAGAAGTTAAATAGAGAAAAATAAGAGGAAAGTGCTATAATTGGTAAATGTATTCAGAAAATGTTCGATTATTTCTTCTCAGCGAAACCCAATAATGTCTTCAAATTTTGTTGGATTGAATCCTTATTGATCGACCTATACAACTCGCACAGCAACAGTAGGTGAAGTGGTTAACTGATGTTAAATTGGTCTCTAGATTGTTCCTGAATATTGACTGGTTGAAAGAAAATAGTAATTGGAGGGTTTCTGTAGAGAAGATTATTTTGAGAGATAGCCAGAAATCACTTGTCAGCTTTGAAATCGATGTCCTTACACAGAATTTTGTTTAGTGTGCACTCTGAATAGTTTGAATTTTATATTTTTGTCGACAGACCGTGGTGGAAATGACTGTGAATGATATCACTACTGATAATTCACAAATATACTTACCAAGGATATATTTTGACAAGTGAGATGATAATGGAAATAGGTACTTCTGAAATGTTTGAGTTCTCGAATTGTCGTTGTGGTAATTGTAATGATAGTATTAGTGATAATATTAGTATTATTAGTAGTGGTAGTGTTGTTGGATGGTGTTTTAGTAGTGAAAATAGAACGGTTGTATGGTTGTCGATGATGTTGGTAGATATCGACAAAAAATAGAAAGTCAACTCGATATTAATACCAGATGATAGTAACTAGGGAATCACCATAATTGATGCAAGATATACTTGTGAATTTCGTATCATTTATAGAATAAACATAATAGGTCATTACTGTTGATTCTACTATTCAGTTTGTCTCTCAATTTAACAGTATAATCGTATTGATACTAATCATTAGGGAAGTGTATTGCTGTAAAATAAGGCACATTTTGCATTTCGACATATTAGTAACAATACATTTAGTCCCTCTTTATCTCCAAAGCGTTTGAATGGGACGTTTGTATGTGCTTTATACTCAAAAGGATCAGTAGGTGACTCTGTGTTACAATTGAACTGACTTTGAATTATTGAAAGAAGATTTACCCTTTTGTGTGTGACATTCACTTTGTCTGAATAAACAAGATAAATATCATTAGATTCTTTGGGTATTTCTAGATAAATAAAACGCATACTGAGATCTGATGACGACGGTTCATGATAAAATTTTCCAGAAATACTGAGTGCTTTGTGCAATTTGATCATATTGAAATTCCATATTATATTGGAAACTGAAACTTGTAGATTGATCCCATCAGCGCTTTTTATGGTTTCCTTTGTTTTCCAAAATTCCTGTTGTCAGTTGTGACTGTGTCGCCAATTGTTACGTTAGAATCGCTTACTACTTATACTTATAAAATGAGAAACCACTGCAGTAAGTAAGAATATCAAATCTAGTACAAGTGAAGAATTATTAACCCCAAAACACAACCCTAATCGAAAATGCACTCATCTATATATTGACTGTCCACCCATTTTGATTATTAAATTAGAATGAAGTCACAAATCACACTCTGCGTGTCATGTTGAATCAAGTTCATGTTAAATGAAGACAAGAATATCGTATGACACTAATTTTGTATGTGATTGATGCAGTCGAATAATTATTCATCTTACAAATTACACACTTTTCAACAATGAATGACTTGCATATATCTATTGGTATTAAAAATGATGCGATACATTAAAAATGTTTTTTGACTCTCCCGTTCTTTCACATTGTACGAGCATTCCGTGTACCTAAATTAATGGTTGCTCTGATTATCAGAAGGAACATCAGCCTTGTAACTTCCGAAGGAACTTGGCTTTCACCATAAGAGGTCGTAAAACTCTTTTAAATGAAGAGCTTCTAACTCCCAGGACAGAGTTCAATTGGTTTGACTTATTTTTTTCTGGTTAGCGTCTTTTTAGCGAGTTAGTTTTCTACGGGATGGGGTCACTAGCACTATACCTAGCCCTCCTCCTTTGTCCGGGTTTGCGACCGGCAATAGCCCAGGAGGGACTCCAGCTGGAGCGTCACAATGCAAGCCCACACTTAGAATCCTCAAGGCCAGAAGAGAAGAGGATGACCAAAAAACACGTTACGCTGAGAAATGGAGACAGACATGAGAAGAATGAACAACAATTGGATAGAACTAGAAAGGAAGGTCGAGGATAGAGTGGGTTGGAGAATGCTGGTCGACGGCCATGCTCCATTGGGAGTAACAGGAGAAATTCAATTCAGTTAAGAACTATGGACTAAAGTAGATGGAAATAGTTTTCAACTAATAACACAAGTCAAATCCTATGGATCAAGGAGATTAAAAGTTGACTTTTGAACAATATTCTTCATATACATATAGAATTACAGATAAAAATTAAGAAGTTATGGCCTTTTTTCCCCAGACAGATAACAACAATCATTAAGAAGAAGATCAACACATTTTAATTCCAACGTAACTCATGATGGACAAAGTAAAATTTATATAATTTAACCTTACACAATATGTCTACCGGAAACATAAACCTCTGAGCAAAGTGGACAAGATAATAGGCATCGAACGTAAAACATACTCTACACTTTGTCATATATGGACTGTTGATCTCGTCACAATACATATTTATGATTTTAAATATCTGATATATATGAATATGCTTGCATCAAAACACTTCAGTATAAAGTTAGACGCTGATGAGTCATTGATAACTTTACCAATGTTTATATGAGGATTGTGGATACACAATTGATAAAAGTGATTGAATCGCCTTACTGAATGTCATATAATGACCTGTTGGGCTCTGTTTTGTAAATGTTCTTAGATCGTCTGAATAATTATGTTTTACGTGAGTTCTTTTGAAATGTACTCACTAGACAACAAAATTATTTGTTTTTTTTCTTTCCTAATCATCGCAATATGTATTGTATTTTCATGGATCTAAATTCGACCTTATACGCCTGTACTCAATGAACTATCATAAGGTTACAAACGAGACGTATTTGTTGGGTGTATAATGAAACGAATCTGGAACATCATTCACCGACCGTTGTTGCTACTTTGACGTGGTGGCCGGGCTTTCCTACCGTGATGAAGCAACCGAGCTATACTTGCTGGAACAACCGTTCCTCAAGGTCCTACCATGTCAGACAGGTCGGTTGAAGAGCAGTAAGACTAAAAGCAACAAACCCAAGGTCCGAAGGCGAAGTCGTACTGCTGACTGTACAGAGGTGTGACAGCAGTAAGGTGTTTTCTTCAGACAACCAGCATGACAGCGATGCTGCCTTCCCACAAGGAGGGGTGGTGTTAGAAATGGTAGACCCTAAAAATGCACACCTCGCCT